TTCACGCCGGGGGTTAGGTGTACACAACATGGGGGTGCATGGTATGGGGGTGCAGCGAGATGGGCCGAAATGCGTCAACCTTGACTCCGCCGCCCGCCTCAGGGGAACCCATCCTGGCAAATTCTAGGTCTGGTGACTGTTATGGCGCGGCAGCCCGAATTGGCTGCCTGCCAGGTGCTATGCACGGGCCTTCGTTGCACGGGCCAACGCGTGCCTATTTGGGCAATTCCGCTGTCGCCGTGCAACGCACAACTTTTTGCCTTTCTTCTCTTTACCTTTTGATAGCCAATTCAACCTACGGATATCGCAGCCTGCCTCGTTGCCTACGTTGGACCGTGACAGTGACCACTGGTCCTAGCTACGACCTGGGGCCCAGCTGTCGCGCCTTCACATGTTTCATCCTTGCGCATTATTATTTTATTGGCTAGGATTGTCAACAGGACCCACACGTGATTTTGTGGCTTGTAGGACCGCAGATGGTCGAAGCCAGAGGTAAAAGGATAGGTGTTCGTGGACAGCCTCTTAGGGTCGGGTGGGAAAGCTTCGTATTGATACACCTAACCGAGGCAGCTTGCCAGGCTGGAGTGTCCCCTGTACAAAACCGTCCAAAAGCGCAATTGCTGTTGCCATAGAAGCGAAAGCGGCCAGGAGGGTGAACGGGCACGAAATAAACAGGAGGGCAAAAAATGGAGGAGGGCAGGAAATGACAGGAGGGTGTTACGGCGTGGTGTGCCCTCCGTGCACTTGCAGCCTTGTCTCTCGTGTGCGTTGGGTGTATAAGACCCCTATCGCAATTAGAACAGCGGTTCTGATTGTCCTGGCTTTTTAGCAGAGATGGGAGGGGTCTCTCTTTGTCTAACCGCCTTGACAGAGGGAAAAATATCGCGGCCCGCTTTTGAAAGCCCTGCCGCTTTACTTAATTAGTATTAGCCGGTTTGATACTTCCTCTTTCTAGGAAGCAGTTCTTGGCTTCTTCCCCTTCCCTGCCTCGAAAGGCAGTCGGCCCATGCAGCTATCCTTGCTTGCTCGTAACATGGGGGTAAGGGTTGACGCCTGGTGGAACCCCGCTGAGAGAGTTAGCCTGGCATGCAATCAATAGTCGCTAGCGTTCACCGAACTTCTCACTTTCTCAAAATGTCCCCCACGCATGCAATCCCATGGAGTTTTGCTGCAGGTCCAGCTCACCCCACATCTCCCTCTGCACACGCCCCCTGTTTGTCGCCCGCCTCATCCTGGTATGTACATAGGTACCGATACCGCCCGAACCCCGGTTGGTGGAGGCACTCGCTGTGATAAGTACTTGCCAGTGTTTCCGGCAAGAAACGCTAGGAAAGGCGCCTTTCTCCCGTGGTCCCCACCCACTCTATCCGCTCTCAAGATGAAGGCAGGGGTGGCGCTAAAAACCGATCCGCCGCAA